GTCTCTTGGCCAAATGCAAATGGCGTTTGTCAATTTTTTTGGAGCACTTTGGGGAAATGCAATTGCATTTCCAAAGGACTCTAAAGACCTTTAGCTCAAGGAAGGTCCGGAGGTACTTTGGCAAGTTGCATTTTCGGAACGCAAGTTTACTGTTCATCACACTATTCATAGCACTGTTCATCTTCCCCAAGCAACAAGTCTGGCGGCTGGCGATCGCCGTCTAACGGGTAGAAGAAGAGAGAATGAAGGGGGGTTTCTAGAAAGAGAGTGTATGACATGAGAGAGATGAGGTGGTAACGTGGGAATAATTATTTTGTTGAGGGGAGAGAGAAAAAAAAGGCGTTCGAGATGACGATTTGTCATTCAGAGAGAAAGCTTTTGAGTCTTTGAGAGAGAAAGCCAGACTTCAAAAGTTTGGTCACGAGGCATTTTGTTTCATCCCATCTCTATTGATATGTGAAGTTTGTGATTAGAGCCTAGAAGTATGCTTGGTAGACTTGACACAGGGCGCGAAATGACAGCGCTTCGAGACTAAGGGCCCGTTTGATAACGTGCCAAACAGTAAAAATTTCTGTTCTTTTATTCCCAGAAATAGTTTGGGAACAGAAATGCGTTTGGTAAACTTTTTGTTTTCGGGCACATTTTTGCCAAAATTTGTGCCGAGAAACAGTTTTGGAAGAGAAACAAGAAGTAAAAAAAAGTTACTTCTTATTTCTCGGCACAATTTTGAGAATCAGTTTTTTTTCTTCTTTTTCTTTTTTTTCTTTTCTTCTTTTTGTGTTGCTGCAATAAAGTTTGTGGCCGATCGCCGGCGACCGGCGGCCGGCCACGGCCCGGGCCGGCGAGGGCGTCACGGCCCTCGCCGGCCGCCGGCGGAGGCGAGGGTCCCCCTTGCCGGCGAGGGCGAGGGCCGGACCCTCGCCGCCTGGGCAAGGCGGCTCGCCGTCGGTCGTGGCGAGGTCGGCCTCGCCCAGAAGGGGGACCCTCGCCTCTGCCGGCGGCCAGCGAGGGCCGTGACGCCCTCGCCGGTCACCGGCGACTGGCCATGGCCAAGGAAGAGAATGGGTAGAAAGAAAAAAAAATTAAACAATTCAAAATATTATTAAAATATTGTTAATAAAAAGAAATTTTGTGTAGTTACCAAACGCATTTCTGTTCTTTTCTATTCCGGGAATAGAAATTTTGGACAGTTACCAAACGCCTTAAAATGCTCAGAAATTATTTCCGGGCACAGAATAAAAAAAATTATTTCTGTTCAGAAATAGTTCCCGGACACAGAAATATTCTCATGCGCACCCTAAACAACTTGTCAAAAACGAGATTCGAAACAATATGATGTGCCAAAACCAACGCATTGTTGCTCCATCTACTTCTTCAGCCTCTGCCCATAGTCTAGAGTCAGGCCCCTATTCGAAGCTCACATAGCCGTTTCCGGCGCTTATTTGAAACAAAATCCGCTTCGGGCTAGTATTTGAGAAAACGATGGTACTTCAGGCCCTTATTTGAAATTTTCCTACAAATCTATCGCAATTCCAATTCGAATTAAAATTTTCCTTGTTCTATAAACACGTTTAATACTATTTTTTTATTTAATATTTTCTTCGCACACCTAATCCTCTCATAAAATTTCTCAGATAGATCTACTGCTATTTATGGTGAGGACAAATAGGGTTGGCACATCTAAAGCAAATTCCACGAAATCGATCGATCACCAACATTATAAACTTTAGAAATCATGCACGCTTATCCATAGAAAATAAAAAGGGAAATACGTGTACAAACGAGTCACAAACTATACCTTAGTCGCAGGCAATAGATGTAGCAAGTTGAACTAAAAGTCAAGGACGTTAATCACGGAGGAAAACACTTACTTGATCAGATGTTGGTACCGGCAGGGCACGGCCGTTTGGAACAACATCGGCCTTCACCCGATTCGATCCACCGGCGCCATGCGTTGATTCTTCTTATGGTTCGAAACCGTCGAGCGTCAGCTTAGAAGCACCAAGGCAAGAAATTAAGAACATTTTAATGAATTACATAGACTTTACATCATTTTTGCGATGAGCGGATTTTATTTCCTAATTGATAAATACCAGATTTTGTTGCAGACGTTTATGGATATCAAGGTGACAAAAGATCGTCCCGATATCGCGAGGGATGTACTTATGGAACAATTACGATAATCTTTTGCTTTTGTGTGAGTTAATTTTGATTTTGATTTTTGGTAATCTGGGTTATCAGGTCGGGCGGAAAAAATGGGTTACTTAAAGATTTTTAAAAGCAAATTGAAAAAAGTTAACAAAAGATTTTTATAAAAATGAATAAATGATCAATCGTGTATATTCTCGTGGATGCATTATAATTACTAATGAGAAAAACGAGGAAAATAGAGAAATAAATTGCTTGTAAGTTAAGATATGTCTAGATTATGCTCTAGTAAGACACGTCCGTGTTTCTTTTGAATTTGTTTCAATTGCAAATACATCTTTAATTTATGATTTTTCACATGGCTAAGCGTACGTTTGGCTTGTGTTGGCAAAGAAGGAGCCAAGCTTTTTCGAAAAGAGTGTATGTGGGGCACTTTTAATAACACTGCACGTAACACCAACAATGTAAATTGAAATTGTGCAAAGAAGAAAAAAGAGATAATGATATAAATAATCTCTAAATTTTGATCCAATATGCAATATGGTCATTGAACTTCAATTTGTTCAATGTAATCTGCTCTGAACTTTAGCCCAATGTTCAATGCGATTCCTGAACTTTCGGTAGACGTTCAATATAATCCGTGAACTATATGAAAATATCTAATGTAGTCCAATTTTTATATAATTTATGAACTAAATTAAACATGTACCAAAAGTCTAGGGACCATTAAGCTAAAATTGAGGAATTGTTTATATCATTTTCAAAAAAAAAATAACTTTGTGTTATATAAAAAAAAAAGAGCAAATAGCTGAGAAAGAGAGGTGGGGCCAACTCTTTTTTCGGTTTTTAGTTTTTTTTATTTTAATTCAGAGATACCTTTTTCATGTACTCTTGCCGACGTTTTTTTTAGAGTTGTTGATTTTCATTTTTCATTTTTAATTTTCTATATTTTTTGCACAGAAGTACTGATTCGTCGACCTAATGGTTATGTTTAAAATATCAATTATTTAAGTGCGTTTGGGTTGCGGTATGTATGGGTCACATAAATTATATGGCATGAAAATAGGTTTATATGGATCTAATGGGTTAACACGGTCCACACCACACTCTATGTGATCCACTGAAATTCAACTTAACCCATTTATTTGTCACCTCTAATTTAGGTACACGAGTGCATACTCTCCCGAGGCCTACCTACTAACTCTCACGAATCGATTAAGTTCAAATTATTGGAGCAATTATTGTAATTTAAACAAAACGATGCTCCGGTTCATAAGCTAGAAATTCTCGGTGAGTCAATTAACCGTACCAATCCTGGAGTGTCAGAATTAATTTTGTTAAACTGTTGCCCATGACATTTGTCGAGCAACTGAGAGAGGTTAGCAAAATGGGTTATCAACAGTTCCTGCACTCAATTATAAGTATTGGAGGCCACACATTTGATATCATGTGAGCGGAGTTTAACTCGATATTTGTGATTAAAGTTATATGCATCCGTGAAAATTAATCGAATCGTAGAGTTTGAATGTTTCTCGTAATAAAAAAAATGTTTGTTAAGTAATGAAATAAAAACAAAGGATTAATCCTATAGAGACGACTAAACCTGGTGTCTAATCCGTTCTTTCTTAATCAATGCTTCAAGCATAACATTCTTTCGGACACGTTAACCCACCTCTGTAAGCTCCTTAACATTGCCTTAAGTTTGTGTCGCAACGCTCACAGGACACGTGCGCATGAAACTTGTGGCCACGGAGGAGGAAGCCACGTGGATCCTGCCGTGCCCGGCGGACGTTAGCCCCGAAAGAAGACGCCACGAGGCCCACAGTTCAAGCCTCGAGGGCCTTTTACTTTTTGCCTCCTGATTTTCCTTTTCTCGTTTCCCTTTCAGTTGTTCGTTACGCGACATGCGCTCTTCTTACACGATACGTTGTTAGGACGCATTCATGTCGTTAGGAATAAGACAATCCATCTGCACACGAATAACAATTACACTTTCCGCGAGTTTGATGGATGATACTTGCACCAAGGGTGAACGGTGGAACCGAAACGTAGCTGCTCTCGGTAAGGATCGGTTCTCGATCCGTGAAATCGGAAACCGATCCTGTTGACCTTAGAACGGGGTTTGGACTGGACTAGCGGGTTGGCTTTTTTTTCTTTTTTTTTTTGTTTCTTCAAATTTCAGCGAAGTTTAATTCCTTGTATGCTACACCTGTTGTTATCCACTTCTTCAAGTTTGGGGACAGTTCCGAGAAGGAAGAGAGAAAGAAACCAAGACGTATGATGTAAATTGAACTTCTCTTCAATTTTTCTTTCTGTGCAAATATGTAGAGGAACATTTTCTTTTGGTCTCCAATAAGTAAAATTGAGAGAATGGGTCTTTCACGATCCTTCACTGTCTCCACCACAAAGATCACTCTCCACATAAACACATACAAGAAAAGAGGCCAAAAAAGTAAAATAAAAAGAAAATCATGCAAGCTGGCCAAAACACGAGCAAAATAGGAATCGGTATTATTGTCGGTTTCACCAATTCGGTTCGGTTCAATGAACTACGAACCGGATTGACCATTGCCGGTTTCAAACTTTTACAACAGGAAACTCGCCAGGACTGATCATTTCGGTCCGATGCCCCAATGCAACCGGGGTCGATGCTCGTGCAGCATCCGTTTTTGACGCGTTCATGCAGGAGATAGACCAAAAATCTGAATTAGAGTCGAGTCAGCTATCCGCGCGTGGCGACAATTTTGCGAATCCATTAATTCAATTATTCCACGGCTCGTCCCCCGCCTGATTAAAAGAGCAGAAAAGAAGACGCGAACGCCCCCGCGACTCACGAGAAAAAGAAGCAGCCTCCGTCCCCCCCTCCGTCCTCGCGTGGGCCCCCACTCGCCGTCTCGGAAAATTCTATTTCCAGGAACAGACGTTGCGCGTCCCTCAATCTCAATCTCACTCCCCTCGCCCCGCGCGTCGCCACCACCGCTCCCCCAATCTCCTCTCTATTTCTCTCTCTCTCTCTCCCTCTCTGAACTCGGCCATTTCCATCGCCAGCCCAAAAGCTCAGTCGCGCGCGGAGCCCGTCGCTCTCCGCACCTCCCCCCACACTCCCTCCTCCTCCCTCCGCCGCCGCCTTCCGCCTCCTCCATGACAACGCCGACAGCCGGCGCCGCCTCCCTCCGCCCGATCGCAGCAGCTCACCGTCGCTCCTCCTTCTCCTCCTCTCCCCTCGCGATTCCCGAAAATGCCCTCGCGCTTCCTCACTAATCCCTCCGTCCCCCGCTCCTCCGACCGCTCCCCCTCCTCCTCCTCCGACTTCCCCCGCGGCGACGCCATGGCCGCCGGCTCCTCGTCCTCGTCCTCCTCCTTGTCGCCTTCGCGGTACGCCGAAGTCTGGAACTACATGTGGATCCCTCTGCTGATTTCCTTCTCCAAGGAGCTAGCCCTAGCCAAGGCGCAGTCCGGGATCCTCCTGCCGGGCCAGCTCGAGAACGAGGCGGCGTCCGCGGGCGCCGCCGTCGTCCCGAGTTGCCCGGCGCCCGACCCCAAGCTCAACTTCCGGCCGGTGATCGGGATCCTCAGCCACCCCGGCGACGGCGCCTCCGGCAGGCTCAACAACGCGTCCGACGCCTCGTACATCGCCGCGTCGTACGTGAAGTTCGTCGAGTCCGCCGGCGCGAGGGTGATTCCGTTGATATATAATGAGCCGCCCGAGGTTCTCTTCGAGGTAGAAACCGTGGAATCGAAGTGCTTGGAGACTCTGGACCTTTGTAGCTCGCTTTTAGTTGATTGACCTGAATTACCTCGCGATCCTCGAAAGTTCAGACTAAAATTACAGGCTAAAGCATAACCCACTTCTTTGCAACTACGAGATATTCCGTCCAATAAAACACGGATCAAAAAGTTATCTTTACGAGAAGAGATTCACTAGTTTGTTGTTATTCTGACAAAATGATGGTACGGGTGGATTAGTAGTGTCAACTATCTTTAACTCGGCGAGGATTGTTGTCAAAGAGGGGGAATGTCGCATAACTCCACTTCTTAATGGTCAAAAAGTGATCATGAGAGACAAATCCTGTTTCTTCATGGCGTGCAAGCAACACATGCATCCTCTCTCGCATTTGTGGAGTAGAGGAGTTAATGCTTTATACCCTCTTTGAGGAGTTTTACATGAGTGATGGGTATAATGTTGGGGGAGTGTGGTTTCATTCAAGTTATGTTTGTGTAGATTTTATTGCCTTGGTTATTTTAGACAGCCACCGCTTGGTTTTTCAATTCTAGATTCTGATATTATGGTCGAAATGCAGAAGCTCAACATGGTCAATGGAGTGCTCTTTACTGGAGGGTGGGCTAAAAGCGGGTCATATTATGAGACTGCAAAGGCAATTTTCAAGGTACTGATATGATTGATACACCTAAATTTCTAACATGTTGCGTTTCTATTTATTGGTTGGAGGCAGAGCTTCATCAATCTTGTATTGACTGTTTTCGTGCAATCATTTTTTTTATAGGTGCTTTTCCTAGATTAATGTGCAGTTCCTCATTCAAGAACTTTTTATTCCATTGCTTTGAGACACACGAGCGTTCTCACTGCCTTGGGAGAGGAATAGTTCATTTTGTTGTGTTTTCAATGAGTGTCCTGTATATTTTTGCTTCGCAACTTTTGGATGTTCTCTTTGCCTGTTGTTTGCAGAAAGTTTTGGCTAAGAATGACGCTGGTGACCACTTCCCATTATACGCCATCTGCTTGGGCTTCGAACTATTGACAATGATAATCAGTGAGGTAACTTTGTCCATTGTCACAGTTTTTAATAGTCTATCGATGCTTTCAGTCCTTTTGGTTGCATATTTCCTCTATTCTAATGCAAGAGTCGCTTTACATGGTCTGTTCTTTTAAACAAAAATATTTTCTTTCTACTTTTTATCTTTTGTGAGGTATTGTGCCAGAAAGATACCTCTGTCTGCCTATGGCTTGACTTAGCGCACTTGACTGATTATCATCTGCATAAAGTTATGGCCTCTATCGGCACAAAACTTGAAAGCATAAGTCGTCACTGCAAGGTTGAGATTGCCATTGCTTTATCCTTGATGAGCATGGTTGTTATTGCACATCAATCAATTGTGATGCAAATAATCTCTCAAGGTTTAAGTTGGTTCATTCATGTCAAACAATGATAAATTACAAAAAGTGTAGTTTATAGTATAAAGAGGAATTGGAAAAATCTCTTGATAATAATTTAACTGTTCCCTGATGACAGGACAAAAACATTCTCGAGGAATTTAATGCTGCAGATCAAGCATCCACTCTACAATTTATTAGAAACACAAACATTGAAGGAACAGTATTTCAAAGGTATGGTTGACCCAAGTAAGCTTTCACTGTCAACTTTTAAGAACTTACATATATAAAGACAGGTAAAGCTGTATTCTTTTTATTTGACAGCAAACAGGATATCTTTATGCTTTCAAATGGCTTCTCATACTCTATGAGAACATAAATTTGGATTTTTGTACTTTAGTGTATGATGCTGGTTATGTAGCCGTGGAATCAAAATATTGCTGGAAAGAGAAATGTGGATTGTATCAAATTATTACAGATGATTATACCGTTGTACCAAGAGTGGCTATTGGAGTAGAAGATTCGTGGTTACTCTGTATAAGGTGTCTATTGCTTGATATAGTCATGCATAATCACCTATAGATGCAGCTCTAATTTCCATGTATCCACTGTTTTGCAGATTTCCGCCAGATTTGCTTAAAAAGTTGAGTACAGATTGCCTTGTCATGCAAAATCATCATGTGAGTTGTAAGACTCTTTAGTTGCCTGTTGATTTTAAGTGAGATAATAAGTGGAATTATTTGATTACACAACCCCCCCTTTCTTTCCTCTTCCTTTTGTTTTATCTCATGTTCCTCTTTCTTCCAGCAGAGAATTATCATTCCGGGGATTACATTCCTATTTTGATATAAGCCATCTGTTACATGTGACACGACTATTACTGCTAAAGAATGGTGTCTAGATAGGCCAGTTCGATCCTGGTAAAGTTAAAAGAGGAGGTGAAAGTCATGCAACTGTAATGCATTGTTTTGCTTCTTTTTGTAGACTAACATCCTGTGAGATTTTTATATGGGCCCAGGAGTTTTTTTTTTTGAAGGCTAAAAATGGCTAAAAAGGCTAATGATATGCTTTTTCTAAAGTTTTTTTATGCTGGCCCAGGATTTTGTTTTTTTTTGTTGTGTTATGTTCTATTTTTTAGTTCATGAATGTGATTGGGACCAATCTATTTTAGTTTAGTCTTAAATCTTGGTGATCTTACTTATTCTTAACGCATGCAATCCTCTTTTGTAATCCAACTACTCATTTGTGTCGCAGTATGGCATCTCGCCAGAAAGACTGATGCAGAACACTGACTTAACGAATTTCTTTAAGATCTTGACAACCAGCACAGATGGAGACAACAAGGTTGAATATAAGCAACTACCCTTTTACTTCATATCTGGAGTGATATATTGCAGTGAAAAAACTATTTTGTGTTACTGCTTATATGTGAGAATAACATTTAGTTCTTTGAGGAACTCTATTACCAGGTCTATGTCTCCACAGTACAAGCACACAGTTATCCTGTAACTGCTTTCCAATGGCATCCAGAGGTAATAGTCTTTCTTTTTTGGGTCGAAACCCTGAGGTAATAGTTAGCTTAGTGCTTTTCTTCTTGTTCGACACTAATTTCATTTGATTAGGAAAGGCGCATTGCTTCATTATGTAGTAGCTTTCATACCGATCATCTCAAGATTGGATGCATATTAAGCCTATTCAGGTAGATGATCCATCTGTTACCATTTAAAATGCCTGATACAACTCTTTTACCAAGTTAGCTTAAAGGAACTTTAACTTGCATGACAAATTGACTGCATGATGATAATGCTGTTTCGGTGCCAAATGAAACATGCACCTTCTGTAGGGTTCTGACACTACCGAATGCAGCATGTCATAAGAAAGAAGTTACCCAAAAATTGCGATAGTTGAATTTCTGAATGTAGAGATTTGGGCTCTGGTCTAGGAGTGTTTAGCTTTCTCCAAGATGATCCATATTAAATTCATTGCCTTCCTGCTGAGCACATTGACTATGAAATTCAACCTTTTACTGTCAGGGCATTTTGAGGAAAATGACTTCTTCTTGCTGTTGTAGATTCTAATACAGATTGTTCAATACTAGTTTCTTGCGATGTCTCCCAATTTTTTGCTGTTTGATTTCTTCGGCGAAGACCTTGTGGCACAACTTGCCTGAGTCTTGCAGAATTGGTTAGGCAAAATTTAGGAGAAGGCAATTTGAGTTTATCATGTCATAGAGGAGTTTATCATGTCGTAGAGGACATGATCTTTTTTTATTTTTTCATGGCTTTGACTTAAACATGATTCATTTGCTTAAATATCTTAGGGAGCTAAATCTGTGATTGTTCTTGGGATTATATTTTCCACCTCTTCATATTTGTGAAGTATGTAGACTTACTGCCTTGCGGCTTACTTATTTGGCTTTCTCGATATTGTGCAGAAAAATGCTTTCGAATGGGGTTTGTCCATGATACCACACTCAGATGATGCTATTCAAGTTACACAGCATGTAGCGAACTTCTTTGTCAGGTCAGAATTTGACGAGTAATTTTATGCTGCGAAGCAAGTTGCCTTTGAAATTTCCATGTCAAGGTTCTTATAAATCATGTATCATGCACAATTATGGTTACATGAACTTTGATTATGGTTAAGCGTTTGCTTTCCACACTGTTTGAAGGGAAAACACTTTTAATTTGAACTTTTTATCCTGTAGTGAGGCTAGGAAGTCCGTAAACCGGGCTTCTGCTCGGAAAGTGCTCGACAATCTGATATATAATTACAGTCCCACCTACTGTGGGAAAGCAGGGTAAGCCCTGATGCTATCTATTCAGTGCGTTTCTTCGTCAGTTTTGCACATGAATTTGTGATTTACCAACTGAAGTGTTAAATTTGAATGACCATAGGAAGGGATATGACGAGGTTTATATCTTTTCGCGACTCTGAAGCCCACATTTTCCACGGGCGTGAAGTCTCCTATGCTGAAGAAGGCGTTTACTGAATTGCTCGAAATCAGAAATTCGCTCTTTATGTAATTGAGATCATGAGATGTGCGGACATTATTATTTTAGCAGAAACTAATGGCAAATGCTGAACATTTTCCTAGTTATCTGAACTTGAACTATGCATGATTTGTCGTCTGTAAACTAATCGATGACTCCGTGCCTTGATGAATCAATCAATGGACGAGCTAAGGTCTCATCTCTTTGCTAGTAATTCCTTTGATTGATTGGAAGAGCCCTCAGATCCAATATTGTTTTGTTGTCATATATTGTGTACTCAAGCGTGAAAAACACGAGAATAAGGATTTCTCTTCGCTGATTTCTTAATTAATTGCATATCGTGCCCTATGAAATGCCTACTTAAAATGGAAAAAGGAAGCTCAATGAGGCCCTAATGGAACTCGAATCCTTGGATGGGAGATGTGTAATGGCACTTTCACTAATATCAGATCCTCTAAGCACTCTCAGCCCCCGATGCTCTCAGGCAGTTCTTCAAGATTTGAACATCCAGACAGATTGAGAACTTTGACAGATTTTAGATTACCTATGCTATCTGGAAGTCCAGTGAGATTTTCAGAGTCACCCAAGTCAAGTAGATTGAGTCTTTCTAATATTCCAATTGAAGGATGACCCTGAGATAGTGCTTTGCAACCTTTGAGAATTAGCCTCTCTAGATTTGGGAAATTTGTGAAGTTTGGATTCTCAAAGAGTAATTTGGAATCATCGAGCTTTATGACTTTTAACTTCTCTAAGACTAGCATCTAAAAAAAAATGCTGTAAAGCACACTTTATAGATCGCCAGGTGAGCATATGGAGCCATACCACCTGCCGTGCCTTCGGCCATCCTGAGCATTTTGAGGAAAATGATTTCTTCTTGCTGTTGTAGATTCCAATGCATGTTGTTCAATACTAGTTTCTTGTGATGTCTCCTGATTTTTTGGTTCTTGAATTTTTTAGTGAAGTGCTTGTGGCACAACTTGTCCTAGGCTTGCATATTTGGTTAGGCAAACTTTAGGAGACTAGGCAATTTGAGTTTATCGTGTCATAGAGGACATTATCTTTTTCTTCTATGGCTTTGACTTAAACATGATTATTTTGCATAAGTATCTTTGGGAGCTAAATCTGGGATTGTTCTGGAGATTATATTTTCCACGTCTTCATATTTGTGAAGTATGTAGACTTACTGCCTCGAGTTAACTTATTTGGCTTTCTCAATATTGTGCAGAAAAATGCTTTCGAATGGGGTTTGTCCATAATACCACACTCAGATGATGCCATTCAAGTTACACAGCAAGTAGCGAAGTTCTTTGTCAGGTCAGCATTTGTTGAGTAATTTTATGCTGCAAAGCAAGTTGCCTTTGAAATTTCCATGTCAAAGTTAAACATCATGCATCATACACAATTATGGTTACATGAACTGTGCTTGTGCTTAAGTGTATGCTTTTCACTCAGTTTTAAGGGAAAACACTTCTAATTCAAACTTTTTATCCTTTAGTGAGGCTAGGAAGTCCATAAACCGGGCTCCTGCTCGGAAAGTGCTCGACAATCTGATATATAATTACAGTCCCACCTGTTGAGGGAAAGTAGGGTAAGCCTTGATGCTATCTATTCAGTGCATTTCTTCATCAGTTTTGTGCATGAATTTGTGATTACTGACTTGAAGTGTTAAATGTGTACGACTATAGGAAGGGATATGATGAGGCTTATATCTTTTCCTGACAAAAAGCCCACATTTTTCGCGGGCGTGAAGTCTCCTACTCTGAAGAAGGCGTCTACTGAATTGCTCGAAATCAGAAATTTGCTCTTTATGTAAATGAGATCATGAGATGTGTGGACATTATTATTTTAGCAGAAACTAATGGCAAGTGCTGAACATTTTCCCAGTTATCCGAACTTGAACTATGCATGATTTGTCGCCTGTAAACTAATCGATGACTTTGTGTCTTTGATGAATCAATCAATGGACGAGCTAAGGTCTCGTCTCTTTGCTAGTAATTCCTTTCATTGATCGGAAGATGCCTCAGATCGAGTATTGTTTTGTTGTTATATATGTGTACTCAAGCGTGAAAAACACAAGAAAAAAGATTTCTTATCCCTGATTTCCTAATTAATTGCATTTCGTGCCCTGTAAAGTCCTTATCTAAAATGGAAAAAGGAAGCCGAATGAGGCCCTAATGAAACTCGAATCCTAAAAGACAAGACTCTTCATTCAACTTGGAGAAGAATCTTAATCCTTGAGGACTACTATTTGATTTGTGACTCCATTTATGCCCACAGTTTGCGACTCCTTTCGAGCCTTATTATAAGAGTACTATGCTCGCCATGAAATATTTGGGTTGAGTCGTACCTTTTCCCCATCACTAGTCACGGTTGAAGTTGGCAAATCCATCCCAACAACCACATCAAGATGTTAGCAGCGGTTGGGAAGTCTCTCCATAGGAGATATGCACACACTTAGGCAACATTGGCAACTCTTATGCTCGTGATTTTCTTTTGGGAGAAAAATTGTTTTACGTAGCTACCAGAATTTGTTGAAGGACAAGTCCTCAAAAGTTTGACACAGTAACTTTTCTCAACAATCATCGTCTGCTTCTCACATCACACGAGAAACCCAGATGGAATCAAGACTATCAACAAGTCATCCGGTACTGCGGTAGACTTTATACAAATAGAAGAAAAACTGCTGAATTGACTCGATCATTTGGGAAATAATCGATAGATCAAACACAAATAGTGAGAGCATAGACGAATTGGTGTTGCCATGTCCGTCACCTGGAATTGCTTGATGATGGTCTCTCCGTCACATCAGTATCCTCCTGGTAAATGTTGGAGCAGACATAAAAGAGATGATTCCGTAGATAGATCAGTCTCTCATTATGAGCATATAGAAAAGCTAAAGGAAGACATGGGAGACCTCAACATATTATCGCCCAGCAGATTAAGAATCCCGTACAGCGTACTAAGGGGGTGGCCTATCAGAAACTGATTAAGGAAAAGTCAATGGTGTGCGAGATTTTAACAATGCGCAAGGTTTACAGGAAATGCTCATCAGGGTTCTTGGCCTCCTTGGGTGCCAGTGCCACAAGAGAGGGACATTTAGCAGCTGAAAACTCAGAAATGGAGTTGGCAGCCAGAACGAGATTGTGGGAGTTATTTCATCGACTCTATTACATGGAGAGGGTTTTGGCTTTAGTGCAGGACTCGAACTCTAATTTTAGATTAACCATACGTTATAATTCATACTTGGAACAGTAATTTTTAGGTGAAAAAACGAATTTGATAAAAAAGAAAAACGGATGACTTGAGAATAAACGAAGAAGAATATAGTTGGTAATAAATTTGAAAACAATGGATTGGTCGGTTAAAAACGTGAAATTAGCATTTGATTGAAATATGTACGCAGGCTTTCTAGTATAGAAGTATTGCTATAAGTTTCTCGACAAAACCATAGAATCCACTTACATCTCTGCGTAAGGACCGTACATTATGGATCTTCGAGGTAAACCTGTAAGAAAAGAATTGTTACGGTGAGAAAGCAAAGCACAAAAGGCAGCAAAAGTATTCCCCCTAAGTATTTTGTAGATGGTGCGGGTGGTGGTCTTCTGGATTTTTGGTAGGATGCCTGGTAAGGCCGCCATGGCCTGGGCGAGGGCCAGCCTCACCAGATCTGGCAAGGAGAGCCCTCGCCGAAGCTCACCCACGATTGGCCGGGGCTCCCCGTCGCCTGGTCGGTCGACGGCGACCCTCGCCCAGGCGAGGCCAACCGGTCCGGTGGCCGGCCATCACCTATGGCCGGTGGGCGTTACCGGCAAATGGAAGAGGAAAGAAAAAAAGAAATAAAAAAAAAATATTAAAATATTATTAAAAATTATCCACGTCAAAGCCGACAGTGCCACGTAGGCCGGCCAACATCCATGTCATCAATATCCGGCTACAGTTAACTGGAATGACTGAATCTTGAAAGGTCGAAACCAAGCCCCGTCAATTGATCAATTCTAGTTGCGAATTACCTAGCAATATCATGAGGAGATGGTCGTAGATGTCTCCAAAGATACCAAATATAATATTTAAACTCCGCGGATGAAGCACCTCTGGGATTTTTAGGGTAGAGCAGATTTTTACAGACCCCGCAGCTCACTACATCTTCATGTATTTTGTAAAGGTTCCAAGAATAGTAAGGTGGATAGGAAGCTTCTAAGATCCTATAGCCCTTCCTTGGTTGTCGGAACTCATGGTAGATGCTATCCAAATCCCTGGGCGATGAGCTAGACCACCTGACTAGAAAATCATCAAAATCTGTTGGATCCTGCTCGTAAACCAGATGAACAGCGCATTTTTCCACCTTTAAAACAGGGTTGGTGATCGTAAGTGAAACATCAATGTGTTTTGACATAGCCTGCAAAATAGTATCCCATGGAAATAGCAAAAGTGACACATAGCCCAGCCAAAGGCAGCCTGAATTGACAAATCTGATGGGAAATTTAACTGTGGGAACTAGCCGATTTCCATCAGCATAGAAGTTGCAAAAAATGAAGTGGGCATTTTCCAGGTTCTGACAGAAGTTGCAGTTGGTTCGTTCAAAAGAAGCGCAGATGGCGAATCCCCTCCATTTAACGTCAAACCAATCAGGTGACGTGTCTATGCTCAACAAAGGTCCAACTGTCTGGTAGCTGAACCACTCAGGTATTCCACATTCCAGATATGGAGACACCACATAAGTGTCAGGAAATTGTGAATTGGAACAGCAAATGGTGTAACGAAGCAACGACAAGGAGTGCGTCTGCTGCAAGGTTAAATCTAGATCTCGTGGAAGCAAACCGGAGCAGTTGATGAAGCAAAATACGGAGCCAGGGACTGTGCATATAATAAATGGGTTTGATATCCTTCCCAATCTGAGGCACATGTCAGCCGCCACAAAGATTATGCTTTCCGGAAGTCTTGGCAACACTTCAAGATTTTTGCAATGATTTAATATGAAAAATTCCAGACTGGAGATATGGTTGATGCTTGCAGGTATGGTGGTAAAACTGTTTCGGCTAGGTATAAAAACCTCAAGGAGGGTAAGCAGCCAATATCACTGGGAATTTCTCCGTCCAAAAGACTGCAGCCACTCAGATCCAACTCTGTCAAAGAGGATAGCCCTGAAAATGAAGGCAACCGCGGACCACTAGAGTTTAGAGTGCTTCTCAGCATACGAGTCAGCGTCCTCCAAAAGTTTTGTGGCCTTCCTTTACTAACATGAAAGCGAAATTTTTTTAGATTTTTTAAGAATGTCAAGCTGGATGGGAGATGTGTACTGGCACTTTCACTAATATCAAGCTCCTCTAAGCAATCTAAGCCCCCCATGCTCTCAGGCAGCTCTTCAAGATTTGAACATCCAGACAGATTAAGAACTTTGAGAGATTTTAGATTACCTACACTATCTGGAAGTCTTGTGAGGTTTTCACAGTCACCTAAGTCAAGTACACTGAGTGTTTTTAGCATTCCAATTGAAGGACGAACCTGAGATAGTGCTTTGCAACCTTTCAGAATTAGCCTCTCTAGATTTGGGACATTTATGAAGTTTGGAGTCTCCACGAATAATTGGGAACCATCGAGGTTGATGACTTTTAACTTCTCTAAGACCTGCATTTAGAAAAAACTGGTTGAAAAATTTTACTAGCTTGTTAAACACATAACATGTCTGATGAAGCATACACAAGCACGAGTACTAAATCCAACCTTTTCCCCTCTCCAGAGCCTGCGAAGGAGGCTATCCCGCAAATTGAGTTTGAGAAGATTCTTCGGAATAAAACCTGGAGGAAATGGTTCAAGATTGCATTTGTCCCATATTAGCAGGCATAGTTCATTTGAAAGGTGCTTAACCCCAGAAGAGAGGTGGATGGCACGAACATCAAGCAATCTTAAGTTTGTCATGTTTGTGAATGACTCTCCGTTCAAGCACACTGTTCTCCAGTCACCAGATTGTAAGACTATGCCTTTGACTTTTCCTGTTCCCTGATAAACAACTCATTGTATGTCAGTACAGGACTGGCAAGTTATTTTCTTATATCAAATACGCATGCTTGCCAATTAATTATGCAGAGTACACACCGAGTTTTTTGACAGAATATGGCATACATCCTCAAAAAGCCAGATTCGACTTCCTTCTCCTGGCTCTTCAGGAGACTATTGATGAACAATTTCCCAAGCCATCTCTTGTAGCAAATCATGCATCCACAGTTTGTTGTCCCTGATTTTGATAAGAGATCTATGAAGAAGGACTTCCATTCCAATATCTGGGTAGAAGCCGCAATTGTCCAGAACTTCTGTAACGTAAGTTTTCTCCTTTCCCTTGAAGAAACAGGCAATATCTAGGAAAATCTCCTTCTCTTTCTGCTGTAGTCCATCATAACTTAACCTAAGCAGGTCAATAATTTTCCCTTCTGGACATTCTTTAAGTCTGTCCAGTTCACTCTTCCATTGCCTCGAGCTTCTACTAGCCAAAAAGGAACCTAAAACATCAAGTGCTAGAGGAAGGCCGTCAGCGTATCCAATAACCAGCTCCATGAGCTTCTCAAACCCTGCTGGAGGATGGTTACTTCTAAAAGCTTTCAAACAAAGTAGTTCGCGAGCTTCATCAATGGATAATTCTTCCACTTTATATATGGCATTTACTCCATGTTGGAGAAGCAAATGTTGATCTTTGGTTGTTATAATGATCCTACTTCCACGTCCAAACCAATCAAGAGCTCCTGCTAATTTTTCCAACTGCTCCTTTTCATCCACATCAACAAGAACAAGAAGAAACTGGTTTTGTAGATACACCAGATCATTCTTTTCTGAAATTTCTCGGACATTGGCGAGAAAACTACAGCCATCTTTAAATTTGCCACAGATTTTGTCATAAACTGCTCGTGCGACGGTTGTTTTGCCTATGCCACCCATACCCCATATGCCAATACTGTGTACATCACTCTCGCCCAAGCATAAATGTTCAACTACATCTGCAACATGGGAATACATTCCCACAAGGTTGCCTACAACATAGGACAGCCGAGGACATAGTTTATTTTCGATTTCTCCAATGATTTGCTGAATAAACTTTGTCTCATATCTGCAACGAAGAAATGCAGGTGATTAGTTCCCCAGGGAGCATGGAGGCTGTTCAGTTTTGGAGGAGTTAATCATGTATTCTGGTTCAGATGAACAATCATAATACAAAGTATGAAAGTCATGACATTCTTGGCATGTGAACTAAAAAAAATGAATCATTCCAAATTACTGGAAGAGAGGCCTACCCATCTTTCAATTCTCTTCCGGCGAGATCAGCTACTTTTCTGAGTGCATCCTTCCACCTCTTTATATCTCCCTTGTCACACGTATAGGTTTCCTCAATTTTAGCAAAGTCTCTCCCAAAGTTTCCGCTCAGTTTCCGTACGTTAGATGGATTGACCTTGTAGAAGATTGGTATCACTGCTCCTTCATCGATATCCTTGCACTCCACAGCCTTAGCAACTTCTTCCAAGCACCAAGTAGAAGAGGCATAGTTTTCAGAAAAGATCACAAATACATATCTTAACTTCTCTATTGCCCCCAATATTTCTGGTTTAATATGTTTTCCCCTTGGTAGATCTCGGTCGTGATCATCTTTAAAGGCCGTGATTCCTCGTCGCCTCAAAGCATCGTGCAGATGGTCAACAAAGTTTTTCCGGGTATCCTCACCTCTGAAACTCAGGAAAACATCATACTTGGACTGACTCGGTTTGTTTTCTGCCCTTGGGAAAGATGCCACGTCTTCTTGGACAAATTTTGTGAAGATGAGAGAAATGAATGCACCTTGTCCTTATAGGAGTCCTCTAAATTAAATCGAAGTAGTGTCGACGGTTCAACAAAGATGAGGAGATTTTACGGGGTTATATAGAGGCACTGCATCCGATCTGATACTTTCATTCCAGGGCCGAAGGAGATGAACGAGTACAACTGTACAAGTAAATGCCCTCTGCGTGATCATTTGATTTGATGAATTACTGAGCATCACCAAAAAAAAAGAGAGCAAGAAGAGAGTTTCGGACATCCCCTGGAAGATGAATGTACGATTTACCGAAGCATCATGATGTTATGACATGAACCATCAATTTGCAAAGATGTATGAGCCCATAAAAACAAGGGAGAAGAACACTAAAAGTATCAAAACTTATGTACGGTGAACACTTTAGTGCCAAAAGTTTTCACCGGCTCACTTAAGTGTCAAATCGGAGAAAAAACGATCACTTAAGTGATAACAGCGAGAAATTTTAATCTTAGTTGGATTTTCTTTAAAAAAATAAGGCTACGTGGCATTTTTATGTGTACATTTAGATTTTTTAAATATGTTTTCTGATTTTTTTTCCTTCTTTTTTTCTCTTTCTTCTTTTTCTACCTCTGGTCACCAGCGGTGACAGGCCACTGGCCACGGCCAGCCGCCTGGCGTCACCCGGAGGAGGCCACCGTCGCCCGCCACAGGCGAGGCCTAACCAACCCTCGCATGGGCGAGGGCGGGCGAGCCCCGGCGAGGGGCTCGCCCTCGCCCAATTCGGCTAGGCCGGCAGTCGCCGTGGCCACGGCGGCCTCACGGGGCGTCGCCTTCCCCTGGGCAACAGCCGACCTTGCCGGATCTAGTGAGGGTCAGCCTCGCCTCGCCGGGGCTCACCCTTGCCCAGGTGAGGCGAGGCGAGGCGAGGCCGACCCTTGCCAGATCCGACGAGGCCGGCTGTCGCCCGGGGGAAGGTGACACCCTGTGAGGCCACCGTGGCCATGGCGACGGGCGGTCTCGTCGGATCTGGCGAGCCCCGACGAGGGTTTCCCTTGCCAGATTCGGCGAGGCTGCCCGTCGCTCAGGCCACGATGGCCTCGCTAGGCACCGCCCGGGGGAAGGCAACGCCCCGCAAGGCCGTCGTGGCCACGGCGACGGCCAACCTCGCCGGATCTGGCGAGGGTCGGCCTCGCCTCGCCTGGGTGAGGGCAAGCCTCAGCGAGGGCTCCCCTTGCCAAATCCGGCGAGGTCGCCCAGGCCACGACGACCTCGCCGGATCTGGCGATGGGAGCCCTCGCCCTCGCCTAGGCAAGGCGAGGCTGACCCTCGCAGGAGCTTGCCTGCCCTCGCCCAGGCGAGGGTCAGCCAAGCCTCGCCTATGGCGGGCGACGGTGGCCTCGTCTGGGCGAGACTAGGCGGCTGGTCATGGCCGGTGGCTGGCCTCCGATCACCGGCGGTGACTAGAGGTAGAAGAAGAAAGAGAAGAAAAAAAGAAAAGAAGGAAAAAAATGAGAAAAAATATTTGAAAAATCCAAATGTACATCCTTAACTACTTCGTTTTGATGTGTACATGTTGACTAAATCATTCGGCGAGCCACATCAGCTTTAGAAATTAATAAAAAAATATCACGTCGAATTTTCGGCCAAACTAACCGGAGTTGGCACTTAAGTGATCGTTTTTTAAAAAATTTGGCAATAAAGTGATTCAAAACAAACTTTTAGCACTAAAGTGAGCGCCGTACACAAGTTTTGACACTTCTGCTGTTCTTCATCCCCAGAAAAAATATCGGAAAAGAACAAAGTAACAAAACAAAATTGAAAGAGATTCTAAAAAGTGGAACATCTCAGGCAATTGGGATTGGAGAAAGACAATCAAGCAAATACCAGTTTACATCTGGAGCTAATCAACGGTGAAACACACAAAACAATTAACAAAACAAAAGAACAGCTAAATTCAGAATCAAGCAGAGAGAAAGAGAAAACCTTGAGAATGGAAGAAGCTCGAGTCCGAGCGAAGAGACGAATGCAGAAGCTGATCGAACTCGTCGAGGCTCGAGCTTGAGAGACTACGATCCAGCGGAATCTATCTGCTCACGCGAAGGACTGCTCAAGTCAAGCTCAAGTCAAGCACCCCCGCCAGAAAAGATGATTGCTTATTGTTCTGGCGATTCTTGTATTTGTATGTTGCTTCATGTTCTTTTCCTTGCCGTGCGAAGGGAGTTACATGTAGTTTCCTTCACTCTACACAATTTAAAAATAAAGGTTAATATGACGAAAATTCCAAATTAATACACCGTGATAAATTTACTCTAAATTAATTTTTTGATCATCAAAAATTCTAAACTGGTACACTTGTGATAAATTTACCTTCTGTCAGTTTCCGTTAAATTTTAGTGTCAATAAGTCTACCCGTTTGGGGTTTTATCCTGTGTTTGTCACAATTGTACTAATTTGTGGTTTTTCGTGATGTTAATCCAATTTAACGGAAACTAATGGAAAGTAAATTTGTTACCAATATATTAATTTGGGGTTTTTTGTGATAAAAAAAAAAATTAGTCTAGGTAAAATTATCATAGATATACTAGATTAGAATTTTTTGTGGTTAAAAAATTAATTGTGGTAAATTTGTTATAAGTGTATCAGTTTGAAGTTTTTTTATGGTATTAACCCTTAAAAAACAGATCTTAAGATCCATGCCAAGAGTACAAAATCTGCTATGGTACGTCGTTGAGATTGCTAATCAGAGATTAAAATCAGTTGGTATCTTAATAAGACAAAAGTTGGCACGTCAATCGAAGTAAAGTCAGTAATTTGATAAGTCACAATGATAAATTTCGATAGATTAATATAGTTGCTAATCTCGAACGTACAAAGAATTTTTGGTACTTTTCCAATCCTAGGAAGAAATCCATCCAAAAAAATAAACCCAGCAAAGAAAGAAAGTTTATATGTGATTAAAAAATTAGTCGATATCTTAATGTAACGAATGTGGGTACATCAGACAATTAAGGTTGGCGATGCTCGTTAAAAAATAAGCAGCTTCCCCGGCGTTGGTAAGTTATAAAAATATATATTGTTAGATTATTAAAATAATTGGTAATTTTTTACGTATAAATAAATATGGTACTCGTTCAAACCTATTGACGAGCTTCTGACGCATGATCGGACGAGCAAAGTTACCGGTCGTTTTTCTTGTTACCAAAGTCATTTTGACATTCACCAGCATCGTTCGCCAATTACCGAAACGAAACTAGATTCCCGTTTTTTTTGGGCACGGAGCGCCGACGTCCGGAAAGGGAATTTTATTGCTTCTGATGGTTTTTGTTACTTGAGAATCCATTCACTCCTTAGTAAGGTATTCGCGTGAAAAAAAATCATCTAGTGTAGCTGTTCAGGACTTTGAAGATGTTACTCGGCACAAAACAACAGTTCCCTCTTTTCCCGCACTGGATTTGCAGCTGAAGATGGGGAGAATTTGGAGATCTAAGTGCGAAATCGCTTCACTCAGATGCAAAGAAACAGCGATTGCGAAATGCTTAAGGTAATAATCCTAAGTCCATACATTAGCCTTTTAGACATGAATCGACACTGCCTTTCCGGTACGTGGGTCACGAGGATGAGCCTAAAACGACATTGACGTGATTCTTAGGCACTGTTTTCTTATGATTTAAAAGACATTTTGCTATAAACAATCGCTTGTACCGCTTACAAAAATTAACGTAACAAAATATATTTTCATTGTTTACATAAATATTTAGACATAAATTGTTATCGATAATGAAAATATTTTCCACTGATTAATTATTTTAAACAATACAAGCCATCATTTTTTTAAAAATGTTTTCTAAATTATTCATTTTTCGTGAAATAAACCGAGCCTTAATTGCCCATACATCATATCGAGATCTTCAAAACTAGAGCCGTCATGTAGACTCTTAGAAGTAACTTCAAATTACATAATACTCATGAGCTTTATTGGCAGGGTATAAATCCCCTAAAAATACAGGAATTTTGACTCAAATCCTAAATGACATGACTCTTGGAGTGTCATTGCTCAGTTGCCAGTGTCTTGCTTGTACACAAGCTCAATCCCTTATATCAATCTTCTTACTTCTCCCATTTAAGTAAAACTTCTGCAGGTACTCACGCAAGCTTAACACAATAATCACATACTCGAACTTGTTCATCCAACGTTAATAACACCATGATATGTCAAATCATCTTCATGAAACTCAGATAAAAGTGCCACTTCTAAGACTTCCCAGAAAGTCCAATAGTTGCTATGATACAAATCTTATTTGCCAAGATGGGAGATTTTAACAGTAAGTGTTCATAGTAAGTCCGCCATAGTCACAAGGTTCGAAACGAAAGGCAATAAAGGAAATTTTAAAGATATGGAAAAGGGAAAGCTTCCGCAACCTTCAAACATAATAGGGTAACAGCTGCTTGACAATCTACTGCAGGATTTGGAAGAATCTATCTATTGAAAGGAAAGGGGGACAGCTGATTAGAGGAATGCATGTATCCCCAACGTCTCTTTCACAGACTGGCGGAAAGTAATAAATTTAGGATCTCAAGCAACCAACAAACAAGCTACAGCAGCTCACAGCAACCAGCAAATATACTATTTTCGCTTCTCACAGCAACCAGCATCAACCTGGTTTAGCATCTCTCAGGAACCAACAGATAAAGCTATTTCAGCATCTCGCGGCAACCAACAAATCAATCAAGGCTTATCAAGGAGGAAGAAAAGGGATGAAAGTGCTGCTGACAGCGCCACTTTCTCGAAGTCATGCAGCCAAAACATAGTACAACTTGAAATCGGCCATCACGAAGCTCTGCTGGGGCAGTATCTCCAGGTCGAAGAGCTTGGCTTGCGGGGGGTTCGGCCACGAGAAGGAAGGAGGGGTCATGTGGGATTGGATCAGGCCCGTGAAGCCCTGCGCGAGGCGGTCGGCTAGGTCCTGACCGTCTCCGCTGCACCTCCTCCCATGCTTCGAACGATCTCTCCACAGACATTTACTGAAGCCCAGAGATCGAAGACGACGTCGACGACGACCCAAATTCCTCTCCGCTACGTGCTGTTCATACAGCGAGGAGCCCAGACAGCAAAAGGGGTCCGATCAATCTCGAAACGAACTCGCTTCGATACTAGCCAAGTTCCGATCTTCCTCAACCGCTGCCAGATAGGGCTGTCGATTCTTAGGGGCTTCGATTGCGATTCACCCTGAGGCTCCCTCCACAGGAGGACGATGCTGCTTCGGATTGATTCGGCTGAGCTGAGGAATGGATAAGAATCGAATCGCAGGTAGGGCGACCGACTGAGGATGCGCCGAGGGGGGTGGCGTAGTGCGCACACGGTCTCCCGTCGCCGCCACGTTTTATGGTTAAGGGCGGGGGGTAGCGTTTTGCCTGTGGCTCCGGTCCAAGGTGGGGGAACGGAGGATGGACGGAGAGATATCATGCGAAGGGGTTTCGCTTGTGTCGCGGTGACTGCCGACCTTGTGACCAATTCCCATTGGGATAATGCCAATGTTCCATATCTCTATAAAATGGGCTGGGGTTTCTCTGCATCAGATTAAGGAAAAATCAATGGTGTGTGTTAAAGTAATTAAATATTAAATTATATATTTATCTAATAGCTTAAATTTTTAGAACAGTGTGTAGTGATTCACAAGGTATATAGGAAATGCTCATCAGGTTCTTGACCTACTTGAGTGCCAGTGCCACAAGAGAGAGACATTTTTAGCAGATGAGAAAACTCAGAAATGGAGTTGGCAGCCAGAAAAGAGATTGTGGGAGTTATTTCATCGACTATATTCCATAAAATAGGGTTTTGGCTTTAGTGCAGGACTCAAATTACAATTTTAGATTAGCAATACATTATAATTCATACTTGTAACTGTAATTTTTAGGTGGAAAAACGAATTTGATTAAAAAAAAAGCGGATTACTTGAGAATAAACGAAGAAGAATATAGTCGGTAATAAATTTGAAAACAATGGATTGGTCGGTTAAAACCGTCAAATTAGCGTTTGATTGAAATATGCACGCAGACTTTCTAGTATAGAAGTATTGCTATAAGTTTCTCAACAAAACCATAGAATCCACTTACAGTAAAGCGCAAGGACGGCCAAGTCTGGTTGTCCGAGATAAACCTGTAAGAAAAGAATTGTCACGGTGAGAAAGCAGAACACAAGAGGCAACAAAAGTATTCCCCTGATTATTTTGGAGATGTTGGTGCCGGGGGTGGTCTTCTGGATCTTTGGTAGGACTCGCATAGTTTTAAGAGTTTTCATAGTCTATTAGGATCTTAAAAGGTCAGAAACCAAGCCCCCGTCAATTGATTAATTCTAGTTGCGAATTACCTATAAAAAATATCAAGAAAAAATGGTAGTGGTTGATGACGCATCCCATGAACCCCAAAAGCACATATAAACTCCGCGACTGTATGACCTCCAGGGTAACGCAGATAGTTCCGGAACCCACATCGCACTCCAACTTCATGCATTTTGGAAATTTGCTCAAGAGAGTAAGGCGGATAGGAACGTTCTAAGATCGTATTGCCCTCCCTTGGTTGTCCGAACTCATGGTAGATGCGATCCCAATCCCTGGGCGACGAGCTAGACCACCTGATTAGAAAATAATCAAAATCTGATGGATGCGTGCGGTAAACCAGATGAACACCACACTTTCCCACCTTTAAAACAGGGTTGGTGATCCTAAGTGAAACATCAATGCGGTTTGACCCTCGCCAATTGGTATCCCATAGCCAATATGGCACATAGCCCAGCCAAAGGCAACCTGAATTGACGAATCTGATGGGAAACTCAACCGTGGGAACTAGCCGATTTCCATCAACATAGAAGTCGCAAAAAATGAAGGGGGCATTTTCCAGGTCCTGACAGGAGTTGCAGTTGGTTCGTTCAAAAGAAGCGCAGATGGCGAATCCTTTCCATTTATTGTTAAACCAATTAGGTGACATGTCTATGCTCAACAAAGGTCCAACTGTCTGGTAGCTAAACCACTCCGGTATTTCACCTTCCAGACATGGAAACACCACATAAGTGTCAGGAATTTGTCTTACGGAACACCAAATGGTGTAACGCAACAACGACAAGGAGTACTTCTGCTGCAAGGTTAAATCAAGATCTTGCGGAAGCAAACGGGAGCAATTGACGAAGCAAAACCTGGAGTCAGAAATTGTACATATAATAAATGGGTTTGACATCCTTTCCAATCTGAGGCACTTGTCAGCCTCTACGAAGATTATGCTTTCTGGAAGTCTTGGCAATGTTTCAAGATTTTTGCAATGATTTAATACAAGAGATTCCAGATCAGAGATATGGTTGATGCTTGCAGGTAGGGTGGTAAAACTGTTTTCGGCTAGGTATAAAAACCTCAAGGAGGGTAAGCAGCCAATATCACTGGGAATTTCTCCTTCCAGAAGACTGCAGCCACTCATATCCAACTCTGTTAAAGAGGATAGCCCTGAAAATGAAGGCAACCGCCGAAGTCTAGAGTTCAGAGTGCTTCTCAGCATACGCGTCAGTGTCCTCCAAAAATCTTGTCGCCTTCCTTTACTAACATGAAACCATAAGTTTTTCAGATTTTTTAAGAATGTCAAGCTGGATGGGAGATGCGTAATGGCACTTTCACTAATGTCAAGCTCCTCTAAGCACTCTAAGCCCCCCATGCTCTCAGGCAGCTCTTCAAGATTTGAACATCCAGACAGATTAAGAACTTTGAGAGATTTTAGATTACCTACACTATCTGGAAGTCTTGTGAGGTTTTCACAGTCACCCAAGTCAAGTACACTGAGTCTCTCTAGCATTCCGATTGAAGGATGAACCTGAGATAGTGCTTTGCAACCTTTCAGAATTAGCCTCTCTAGATTTGGGACATTTATGAAGTTTGGAGTCTCCACGAATAATTTGGAACCATTGAGGTTGATGACTTTTAACTTCTCTAAGACCTGCATTTAGAAAAAATTGGTTGAAAAATTTTACTAGCTTGCCAAACATATACATGTCTGATTAAGCAAACACATGCACGAGTACTAAATCCAACCTTTTCCCCTCTCCAGAGTCTGCTAAGGAGGCAATCCCACATATTGAGTTCAAGAAGATTCTTTGGAATAAAACCTGGTGGAAGTAATTTAAGATTGCAGTTGTCCCATATTAGCAGGCGTAGTTCATTTGAAAGGTGCTTAACCCCAGAAGAGAGGCGGATGGCATGAATATCAAGCAATCTTAAGTTTGTCATGTTTGTGAATGACTCTCCATTCAAGCACACTGTTCTCCAGTCACCAGATTGCAAGACTATGCCTTTGACTTTTCCTGTTCCCTGATAGACAACTCGTAGTATGTCAGTACATGACAAGCAAGTTATTTTCCTGTATCAAATATGCAAGCTTGCCAATTAATTATGCAGAGTACACACCGAGTTTTTCGACAGAATATGGCATACGTCCTTAAAAAGCCAGATTCGACTTCGTTCTCCTGGCTCTTCAGGAGACTCTTGACGAACAATTTCCCAAGCCATCTCTTGCAGCAAATCATGCATCCACAGTTTGTTGTCCCTGATTTCGATAAGAGATCTATCAACAAGGACTTCCATTCCAATATCTGGGTAGAAGCCGCAATTGTCCAGAACTTCTGTAACGTAAGTTTTCTCCTTTCCCTTGAAGAAACAGGCAATATCTAGGAAAATCTCCTTCTCTATCTGCATTAGTCCATCATAACTTAACCTAAGCAGGTCAATAATTTTCCTTTCTGGACATTCTTTAAGTCTGGCCAGCGCACTCTTCCATTGCATCAAGCTTCTATTAGCCGAAAAGGAACCTAAGACATCAAGTGCTAGAGGAAGGCCGTCAGTGTATTTAATAAACTGCTCCACGAGCTCCTCAAACCCTGCTGAGGGATCTTGACTTCTAAAAGATTTCAAACAAAATAGTTCAAGAGCTTCATCAATGGATAATTTTTCTGCCTTATATATGGCATTTACTCCATATTGGAGAAGCAAATGTTGATCTCTGGTTGTTATAATGATCCTACTTCCACGTCCAAACCAATCAAGATCTCCTGCTAATTTTTCCAACTGCTCCTTTTCATCCACGTCATCAAGAACAAGAAGAACTTTTTTATGTCGCAGTCGTTCTTTTATCATGTTGGCTCCTCTATGATCATCCCTGATTCTCAAATTGTCCTCATGGAGAATATCACCGAGAAATTCGTTTTGTAGATATATCAGACCATTCTTTTCTGAAACTTCTCGGACATTGGCGAGAAAACTACAGCCATCATCAAATTTGCCACAGATTCTGTCATAAACTGCTCGTGCAACGGTTGTTTTGCCTATGCCACCCATACCCCATATGCCAATACTGCGTACATCACTCTCGCCCAAGCATAAATGTTCAACTACATCTGCAACACGGGAATGCATTCCCACAAGATTGCCTACAACAGAGGACAGCCGAGGACCCAGTTTATTTTCGATTTCTCCAATGATTTGCTGAATAAACTTTGTCTCATATCTGCAACGAAGAAATGCAGATGATTAGTTCCCCAGGGAGCATGGAGGCTGTTTAGTTTTGGAGGAGTTGATCATGTATTCTGGTTCAGATGAACAATCATAATACAAAGTATGAAAGTCATGACATTCTTGGCATGCGAATTAAACAAAATGAATCATTCCAAATTACTGGAAGAGAGGCCTACCCATCTTTCAATTCTCTTCCGGCAAGATCAGCTACTTTTCTAAGTGCATCCTTCCACCTCTTTACATCTCCCTTGTCACGCGTATAGGTTTCCTCAATTTTAGCAAAGTCTCTCCCAAAGTTTCCCCTCAGTTTCCGTATGTCAGATGGATTGACCTTGTAGAAGATCGGTATCACTGATCCTTCATCGATATCCTTGCACTCCAAAGCCTTAGCAACTTCTTCCAAGCACCAGGTAGAAGAAGCATAGTTTTCAGAAAAAATCACAAGTACATATCTTGACTTCTCTATTGCCCCCAATATTTCTGGTTTAATATGTTTTCCCCTCGGTAGATCTCGGTCGTGATCATCTTTAAAGGCCATGATTCCTCGTCGCCTCAAAGCATCGTGCAGATGGTCAACAAAGTTTTTGCGGGTATCCTCACCTCTGAAACTCAGGAAAACATCATACTTGTACTGACTCTGTTTGTTTTCTGGGCTTGGGAAAGATGCCATATCTTCTTGGACAAATTTTGTCAAAGACAAGAGAAATGATTGCACCTTGTCCTTATAGGAGTCCTCAGAAATAAATCGTAGTGTTGACGATTCAACAAAGATGAGGAGATTTTACGGGGTTATATAAAGGCACTGCGTCCGATCTCGTACTTCCATTCCAGGGCCAAAGGAGATGAAAGAGTACAAGTAAAAGCCCTCTGCGTGATCATTTGATTTGATGAATTACTGTGCATCACCAAAAACAAAAGAGAGCAAGAAGAGAGTTTCAGACATCCCCTGGAAGATGAATGTAAGATTTATCGAAGGTTAGAGGCATAATCTTGATTAGATTCTTCCTTGGAGCTTCACGATGTTATGACATGAACCATCAATTTGCAAAGATGTATGAGCCCAGAAAAAGCGGAAAAGAACAAAGTAACAAAACAAAATTGAAAGAGATTCTAAAAAGTGGAACATCTCAGGCAATTGGATTGGAAAAAGGCAATCAAGCAAATACCAGTTTACATCTGGAGCTAATCAACGGTGAAACACACATAACAATGAACAAAACAAAGGAACAGCTAAATTCAGAATCAAGCAGAGAGAAAGAGAAAACCTTGAGCATGGAAGAAGCTCGAGTCCGAGCGAAGAGGCGAATGCAGTAGCCGATCGAACTCGTCGAGGCTCGAGCTTGAGAGACTACGATCCAGCGGAATCTATCTGTTCATGCGAAGGACTGCTCAAGTCAAGCTCAAGTCAAGCACCCCACCAGAAAAGATGATTGTTTGCTGTTTTGCCGGTTCTTATATTTGTATGTCACTTCATGTTCGTTTTTCCTGCCGTGTGGAGGGAGTTACGTGTAGTTTCCTTCACTCTACACAATTAAAAAAAAAAGAATAATATAACGAAAAACCTCAAACTGGTACGTTCATGACAATTTACCTCAAAATTAATTTTTTATCACAAAAAATTCCAAACCGGTACACTTGTGACAAATTTAGTTTCCGTTAGTTTCTGTTAAATTTTAGTGTCGATTGATGAGTTGGATTATACTTGGTAGTTAACAGGTGTACTCATTTGGGGTTTTAACCTCCCTTTATCATAAGTTTACTAGTTTGTGATTTTTCATGGTATTAATCCAATTTAACGGAAACTAACGGAGGGTAAATTTATTACAAATATATCAATTTGGGATTTTTGGTAGTCAAAAAATTAGTTTGGGGTAAATTTGCTACAGGTGTACCAGATTGTGATTTTTTGTGGTTAAAAAATTTATTTAAGGTGATTTTGTCATTGTGTACCAGTTTGGAGTTTGTCATAGTATTAACCCTTAAAAAAAGATCTTAAGATCCATGCCAAGAGTACAAAATCCGCTCTAGTACATCGTTGAGATTGCTATTCGGCCATTAAAATCAGTTGGTATCTTAATGTGACGAAGGTTGGCACATCAATCAAATTAAAGTCGATAATTTTCAATAAAAGTCAGTAATTTGGTAAGTCACAATGATAAATTTCGATAGATTAATATAGTTGTTAATCTTGAACGTATAAAGAATTTTTGATACTTTTCCAATCCTAGGAAGAAATCTGTCCAAAAAAATAAACCTAGCAAAGAAAAAAAGTTTATATGTGATTAAAATTAGTTAGTATCTTAATGTAACGGATGTGGGTACATCAGGCAATTAAGGTTGGCAATGCTTATTAAAATTAGCATCTTCCCCGACGTTGGTAAGTTATAAAAATATATATTGTTAGATTATTAAAATAATTGTTAATATTTTAAGTAGAAATAAATATGGTACTCGTTCAAATCTATTGACGAGCTTCTGACGCGTGACCGAACGAGCAAGACCGGTGGTTTTTCTTGTTACCCAAGTTGTTTGACATTCACCAGAGAGCGCCAACGTCCGGAAGGGGATTTTATTGCTTCTGTTGGTTTTTGTTACTTGAGAATCCATTTACTCCTTAGTAAGGTATTCAAGTGAAAAATCATCTAATGCAACTGTTCAAGATTTTGAAAATGTTACTCGGCACAAAACAACAGTTCCCAATTTTTCCGCATTGGATTTGCAACTGAAGATGGGTAGAATTGGGAGATTTGAGTGTGTAATCGCTTCATTCAGATGTAAAGAAACAGAAATTACAAATTGCTAGGTAACAATCCTAAGTCTGTATATTAGACTTTTAGACATGAATTGACACTACCTTTCCAGTGGGGAAAAGTGCCAAAAAAGTCCTAAACCTTTTGCATTAGTGCCAATTTAGTCATAAACCTTTTTTTGGTGCCAATTCAGTCCTAAACCTTTTGCATTGGTGCCAATTTAGTTCTAAACCTTTTTTTGGTGCCAATTAAGTCCTAAACCTTTTAAATTGATGCCAATTCAATCATAAACCTTTTATTTTTGTGTCAATTTAGTCCTTCCGATCAATTTTGATCGGAATTTGCCGACGTGGGCGTCCGCCGGCGTAGTCAATGTCCCGGGGCGTGGACAACTTTAATAATATTTTAATATTTTTTGAATTTTTATTTTTTTTTCCTTTTTTTTATTTTTTTTCCACTTTTTTTTTGGTCCCCCCTCCTTCCTTTGGCCGGTCGCCGGTCCGGCGACCGGCCAGAGGCCAGCGAGCTCGACCTCGCCGGCCACTGGCGAGGGCGGCAGCCTCGCCCGGCGAGGGCTAGCCTCGCCTTGGTCGGGCGAGGCTCGACCTCGCCGGACCATGGCGAGGCTCGAGCCCTCGCCGGAGGCCGCGGCGAGGGCGAACCTCACCATGGTCGGGCGAGGCCCGACCTCGCCCGATCTGGAGAGGTCGAGCCTCGCCCGACCAAGGCGAGGCTTGAGCCCTCGCCAGAGGCCGCGGCGAGGTTGAGCCTCGTCGACCTCTGGCCTCTGGCCGGTCGCCGGACCAGCGACCGGCCAGAGGAAGGAGGGGGGGACAAAAAAAAAAGTGGAAAAAAAAATAAAAAAAAGGAGAAAAAAATAAAAATTCAAAAAAATATTAAAATATTATTAAAGTTGTCCACGTCAGCGCCACGTCGGCGCCGGTGACCGGCCGCCGGCTGGTAGGCGTCCACGTCGGCAAATTTCGGTCAAAATTGACCGGAAGGACTAAATTTGCACAAAAACAAAAGGTTTATGACTGAATTGGCACCAATTTAAAAGGTTTAGGATTTAATTGGCATAAAAAAAGGTTTATGACTAAATTGGCACCAATGCAAAAGGTTTAGGACTGAATTGGCACCAAAAAAAGGTTTATGACTAAATTGGCACTAATGCAAAAAATTTAGGACTTCTTTGGCACTTTTCCCCTTTCCAGTGCATGTCGCAAGGATGAGCCTATAACAACTTTGACGTGATTCTTAGGCTCTATTTATTTCGCGAAAAATGAATAATTTAGAAAATATTTTGCTAAAAACGATCACTTATATCGCTTATAAATATTTTCATCGTCCACGAAAATGTTTAGACATAAATTGTTGTCGATAATAAAAATATTTTACATTGATTAATTATTTTAAGTAATACAAGCATTTTTTAGAAAATATTTTCTAAATTATTCATTTTTCGCGAAATAAATAGAATCTTAATTGCTATACATCACATCAAGATCTATAGCCCATCTTGTAGACCCTTAGAAATAACTTCGAATTGCATAATACTCCGGAGCTTTATTGGCAGGGAGTAAAGCCCAAGACACGACTCTTCGTTCAACTTGGGGAAGAAACATAATCCTTTAGGACTCTATTTGATTAGTGACCCAAGGCTAACTCAGCATTTTTGCCAAGAGTAGTAAACTAATCAATGTTACTTTTGATAAGTAAAAAAGGTGGGAGGACGACCGGTGCTAGCAACCCCTCGAGGCGTTACTACAATGGTCCCCATCACCCCCGATTTGAATGTCAAAGTTGGCAAACGCATCCCACAATCCCACCAAGATGCTAAGCAGTCAGGAAGTTCCTCGGCATGAGGTATGGTCGCAATTAGACAACGCACTACAAGCCATTCAGAGATCCTTCACGACGTGAATCGCACTCATAACCTCATGGAGAACAAGTAACATCAGTGTTTGAACAAATACCAGGTTGCTTCATTTTGTTAGCTGCGTCATCTATTATGAATGAAACTCTGTCGTAGTGCTTGCCCAGATCTTCTGCAGTATTTAGTTATTCGGCTACATCATTCTTACATAGCAACCCTTATGCTCGTGGTTTTCTTCCGGGAGAAAAATTCTTTTACATAGCCACAAGTATTTGTTGAAAGACAGTCCTCTTTCTCAAAAATTTGTTACAGTAACTTTTCTCAATAGCTACCGGCCTCTTTCTCACATTACATGAGAAGCCAAGATAGAATCAAGACTATCAATAAGTCATCCTGTGTTACATTAAACTTTATATAAATCGAAGAAAGACTGCTCATTCAATCAACCATTGACAGACAGATTATCAAAATAGTGTACATAGACAAATTGGTGCTGCCATGTATGTGACCTCGAATTGCAAGATGACGGTTTCTTAGTGACGTCCAGTATGCTCTTGTAACAAGTTGGAGCAGATCTGAAAGAGATGATTCAATGGACAGATCAATCTCTCATTCTGCGTATGCAAAGGAAAAAAGAGTAGATAGGAAAGCTAAATGAAGACATGGCAGCTCACCTTATTTGATTTCTGATCTAGTGTAATTGGGCCACCAAACCTGATTAAGGGAAAATCAGTGGTGTGCAAGGATTCAATAACGAGCAAGGTTTATAGAAAATGCTCATCAGGGTTCTTGGCCTGCTTGGGTGCCACAAGAGAGATTATTTCATTGACTCTATTACATGGAGAGGGTTTTCGTTTTAGATCAGAAACTCAAAACTCTAATTGTAGATTAGCAATATGTTATAATTTGTACTTGAAACTGTAATTGCAGGTGAAAAAAAGATTTTAAAAGAAAAACGGATCACTTGAAAATGAACAAAGTAGAATATAGTTGGTTATAAATTTGAAAACAATGGATTGGTCAGTTAAAAACGTGAAATTAGCATATGATCGAAATATGCATGCGGACTTCCTAGTATAAAAGTATGGCATAAGTTTCTCAAAAACATGGAATCCACTTACTGGTAAGAATGTATGTGGTCCACAGATGCTGGATCTTCGATAACCTGTAAGAAAGAAATTGTTACGGTGAGAAAGCAAAACACAAAAGGCAGCAAAAGTATTCCCCTGATAATTATGGAGATGTTGGTGCCGGTGGTCTTCTGGATTATTTTGGTAGGATTTACAAAGTTCTAGAGTATTAGTAGTCTATCTGGATTTCGAAAGGTCTGACACAAGCCCCGTCCATTGATCTAAGTCTAGTTGTGAATTACCTTCCGTAAATATTATGAATAGGTAGTCCTAGAATTCCCTGAGGATACCACGTCACATATACGAGCTCCGCGAGAAAATGACCTCCGGAATTTCCAGGGTGACGTTTGAACTCATTGACCCCACAACTCTTTACACCTCGCATTTTGTATAGGCCCTCAAGAATGATAGTTCCATAGAGAGTATTGCCCTCCCTTGGTGGTCGGACCTCATGGTTGATGCTATCCCAATCCCTGGGCGATGAGATAGACAGCGTGTCTAAGAAATCATCAAACTCTGTTGGACAGAACTCGTTGACCACATGAACACCACACTTCTCCACCTTTAACCAGGGGTTGGTGATCCTAAATGAAACATCAATGTGGTTTGACACTACCTGCCAATTTGTATCACATGGAAATTGAGTACCGGACACATAGCTTAGCTAAAGGCAACCTGAATTGA